GCGAGCAGCCGTTCACCGACACATATTTCTCTGGTGCAGAATCTCTAAACAATTACACTCAGGGAAGACTGAAAACATTGTGTTCCTGTGTCAACCCTCTGCCGTCCCGAACTAAAGTCACTCAACGAGCTGCAGTGTTTTACTGATAAATTGTTAACTCGATTTGCAACCGTACATATCCTTCGCTAGTATCGTAGCCTTGAAGTCAGGTTTTTTTCAGTTGAAACAAACTCCCCATTTCGTCCACAACTGATCAAGCAGAAAACTAAAACAAAACCAATACTGACTGCAAAAGAGGGAGCTTGTTTAGAGTTTTTTCCTGGTTTCCAGGTTTTAGAAGGCGCCCAAGAGATGCTTTGCCATTTAACCAAATTTTGACCTTGCCTGTAAACTGGCAATATATGAATAAATGAACTCCTATTAGCTACCAAAAGAAGCGTATTGACCAAGAACACCAGTAGAGCAACTCATATTACCATTAAATGGCCGTTGGATCTATTCCTGCCTACATTACTTGGCTTCGTGCCCGCCATAAACCATGATTACAACATAACCCATCATCGTTCAAATGATGAAAATCATATGGAAGTGCACGGTTTAAACCCCTCCGGTTTCGTTCTCTGCTAATTATCATCAGAATTACAATCGAACTGCTGAGCCATCGAGGCATCACATATAGTTACACTTTCCCGCGTGCTATGGTATCTGGTAAGCCTCCTTTGTTAATCAATAGGAGTTTCTAGGTTTTTTTAGTTTATTTTGTTCTTTGAACAGACTTTGTCGCCTACGTGTTTAGTTAACCAAAACAATTAAAATCGTCTTAAATTTCTTTTTTATGGTACAGTCTTCGCGCACCTATATGGCCTCTGGTTTGCCCCACTATTTACTTCCCATTTGAACATGATTTCCCCAAGAATCTTGGGCGGGGGTACTTTTCCATTGGGCGGCCATACGATAAACTATTACCAATCTTTTATATAACTGAGGCGCCCGGAGGACCGTGTCATAAAAAAACATGGTATTATGACGAAATAGCCAAAATTTTTATAATTGGTGCTCTGTATAGGCAGTAACATAAACAACAGAAGTGAATGATGTGGTAGGTAGTCTTTAACGCCTACCAGTAATTCCGTTTTTCAAAAAGAAATTTAACCGACGACCACACTTCGTAATCAGCTTGTACACCCTAAGGACAGGGTTGGCTATTTGAACAGAAAAGAGGCCGTTTATAGAATTCCTTGCAATTTATTGTGGACAAACAGGAAGGTCCGCCTCTACGTGCGGACGTGAACATCAACTAGCGCTAAAAAGGCACGACAAGCTATCCGAAGTCGCCATGCATTCGCTTTAAAGTGGGAACAAGTTTGTATGGGAACAAACCCCCATAGAAGGGTCCTAGCCATATGAGAAAGGCGAAGAATTTTCGCAGACCATTAATTCTGATGAATCATGCATCAACAGGCACGTTGATTTGGATTCAATGTATACCAATCTCAAAAAAGCCTGAAAAAAGCGTAAACTACAAAATAATGCTTTTAAACATGGATGACGTAGCCTTATCAATTTTTGGCACGTTTAAAAATGCGCACTGCTCTTCACATATTTCCTCACGTCCGAAGACGACCTGCTGTACCGGCGTCGAAAATTTACACTAAAGTTTGTTCCTGTTTGAAGAGTAAAGGACCCAAGACAGTGCCTTGAAAAACGCCACTCGTGATCAGGTGAGCAGTGGAGTAACTGTTACCCACTAGGCCCTTCTGCCTGCGGTTAGACAAGTAGGAACCGATGAAGTCGAGGAGAGGGGGACTGTTAGACAAAGTAGGAACCGATGAAGTCGAGGAGAGGAGGACGGATGCCAATGGCTTCCAGTTTTACCAGTTGCCGTCTGTGCAGTACCTGGTCGAAGGCCAACCCACAGGCTTCTCGAAGAACTATGAAGCGCTCTCGGGCTCCCAAAAAAGGCCAACTAAGCCCAAGGGCTAATATGAGTTGGCCGAGCTTAAGCACGAGCCAAACAAAAAGGGCACCTTCGCAGGCCA